TGCGCTGTGCCAGCCGCCGGGCCGGGGTCACCATGTTCGCCCACCACTCTCCTCTCTCCGGCCCCAGCACCGGGTTTCCTGCGACTGGTCAGGCCCTCAGGCTGAGGGGCCGTTGGCGGCTTCGAGGATGTGCTCAAGCCCCCAGAACTGCTTGCCCTGCCCATGAGCATCCGGAACGTCCCTGTGTCCACCTGCAGGGGGACCCGGGGCTGCTGGGTTCCCTTCTCAGCTCTGCTCCCTGTGGCCCTGGACAAGCCCCTCCTCCTCTGGGGGCCTCAGTCTCCTCACCTGGAGTCTGGGGGCGCAGAGCCCAGCTCCCAGATTCACGAGGGCGGGAACACGCCTGGGCCCCAGGCTGGGAGACTCCTCCCAGCCTCCAGCCTGACAACTCGCCCGGGGCCAGGGTGGACACCCCCTGGGGCAGGCTGGGCAGGAACTCCAATCCCCGGGCTCAGCCCAGACCTGCCCGCACTTGTCCTTGGAATGCCACGTGGCCCCGCTCCAAGGTCATCCTTCCCGCCACCGCCCGCAGCCCGCATGGAGCAGGCTCCCGACTGGCGAGGAATGCCAGGGGCGGCCGACGGCTCCCACGGCAGCCGGTGTGGTCAGGGCACGGGCGAGCTCGAGTCCCCGAGGACAGGCATCGGGCAGAGCTGCCAGAACCTTCCCCGCCATATGACCCCCGTCTGGTCTCTTAAAAAGGAGCCACTTACACCCACCGTATGGAGCTGATGTCAGAGAAAACGAGCAAACGGGAAACCCCAGGGGCTCTGCGGGCACCACGCTAATTGCTGATTTACCCCCCAAAAAGCAGGCCACCGCCGCGTGTCTGCACACCCACCTGGGGCTCCGCTGGGCCAGGCTGGTCACGAACAACGGCAGGATCTGCACCAGCAAAACCACGGCCATCGCGCTTGACGGTGACGCGATGCCCCTGCCGCCCCCACCACGACCCCCGCCCTCTGTGGACGGCTGGCTTTGGGGGAACAGGCAGGGATGGTCCGGCGGGCAGGTCAGCTTCACTCTCGCCACGTGGTTGGTTCTGAAATTAAATGACATTTTTCCGTCATTGCTGAAGAAACAGATCCTCATGAAGCCAGAGTTTGGGAAACAGAGAAAGGCAGCCAACACGTGTAACCGTCCCGGAGACTCCGGCCTCACGGAACCGTGCCCACCGGGCCTGGAGCGCCCCCCCACAGCCCGAGCCCCTGGCACCCCATCGGGGAACTGGTCACGACCACCGAACCCGCAGAAGGCGGGCTGCTTCCAGGTCCTCGCACCGTAAGAGGCACTTGGTGGGCATCCCTCTCTCTCTGTCTACGTCTTCCCCTTCTCCGGACACCCCAGCACCCCGGAAGGACGGGCCCCAGTCCTCGACGGGCCCCTCTCCCAGCTGCTCGCCCCAGGCCTGCAGCCGCCCCAGCACAGTGGACTCCCGCCCTCTCCGGCAGGGGTCAGCGCACAGCCGGCCGCTGGTCTCGGAGCCCTGCCTGGGCCTCACGGGGACCGTACTTGGTGGGGAAATTGTCTGCTGGCGCCTCGGAGCTCCTCACAGTGAGGCACGGAGCACAGCGAGGCCGTCTCATCTCCCCTTTCAGTCGCTGGACTCGGTCCGTTCATTCATGAAATGTCCCCCAAGAGCCTGCCCTGCCCGAGGGGGTCAGGCTCCCAGAGTCCCAGGAAGGGGACCTGGCTGGCACCACCCAGGGGCCGATCAAAGCGGGGGACATGCTAAGAGACATCAGAGCTGGCAGG